AAGCAAGCAAACCCAAATCACATATTATACCCCACTTATGCCGATGAACTAATATTCGTCCTTCTAATTAAGGATTATTTTACAAATCTACTGAAGTATATCAAAGGCAAGATTTTCAATATTCATAATAAACATGCCTTGTGCCTTTCATTAATCTCTCAAGAACAGAACTTTGGCTCTACCCAAATAGCATGGAATTAGATAAAATGATGTAGCTTGCCTATAACATATCCTAGATTGCAAAACATTCTATTGATCTGTGGATGAGCATCTGGGCCCTTATTCAATAAAAAATTAAATTGTTGAAAACCACCATGGACACATGAGTCAAGACAAAGTTCATGCATGCGAATCAAAGATGTAGAGAGTAAAACTTTATAACACCAACCCGCATGCCCATTGGAAGACATTTTCCACAGTATTTCTCTTAAGCAACACATTGGTCTGCCATTCACCCCAATCACTATTCTCCTGCAAATCAAAAGATAGGCAACAAACATGTTTAGAATAAATATAGACATGGTTGAAAGACTCAACCATGAAAGAGTGCAACTGTTAAAGCCACTATACAAAGGAAAAGATGATACAAAACACGGAGGAGCATACAAGAACAAAATTGGAGCAGCCCCAACTCAACCAACAATATCACCATAAGTCAAATATGACTATAAAACATGACCCGTATTTTATTTTTAGGGGAGGGAGAGGGTCATCAGGTGGAGGCTTCCATGATAAACCAAGTAACAAAGTAGAAGAAAAAAATAAGTAATTATCAGCAATACCTGTAAAAATGACTGAATCTCACTGTTGCTATTCCCTAATTGATTAAGTTTATTAGCAATACGGGTTAAGTGACCAATATTCCCTATCCTGGGTGGCGATCTTCCCTCAGCAGCTATAGTAGGCTGCAAAATGCATCAAAACAAATTGATCCTAGCACGATTAAAGTTTTATGACACTAGATCACAGAAAACAAGAATATAAGCAAAAAAAATAATGGGCAAACATACATGAGGCAATTTACAAAAATTATTCAATCATCTAATCAAATTATAGATGAGTGACAAGTACCTTGCTTGTATCAACTGTCAAAGTGAAGTTTCTCTCTGCTTCAAGAATTCTCCCGATAAGATTACAGTCATGCACAAGATGGTCAACAAACTTAGGATTCTTGCTATCCAGGCAAGATGTAACAATACGCTCCACATGTTCATGCAGGAAATTATTGAATGGATACCTAAGAGGAAAAGGTTAGCTTCACATTCCGTATGAAGTGAAAATAACATCAAGAGCTAAAATGGAGCACGCAACATACTCAAAAAACAATTCAAGAATACGCTTCACAGCACCCAGGCGAATCAATTCCTTTTCTGCAACTTCGCTACTAACAGCCACCAAGACTGAGATGAACTCTATAATCTGGGACATCCATCAAAGTTTGCAATCAGATTTTGGTTCCATAACATTTATAAAGTTATCTCACAACAACAGAGTTCAACGCAAGAAGAAATGCATAAGGAATTTAGCAGACGATTAAAAAAAATGAAAACCTTCATAACACATAAGAATTTAAGAGCAGAAACACTAATAATTAGGTGCTGGAAATGCATTAATAAACCTTCAATCGATGCTTTCCTAAAGGAGGCTGCAATTTTCCGTATGTAGTAAGCAAGACATGATCCTCAGATGAAATATCCAAAAGCTTGAGCAAATCACCTGAGCAGCAAAACACTTCATTGCATCATCCAAATCCATTGAAAGATTTTGATCATAACTAATATGATAATTATGAAAACATTACACCAAAGTAAAATTATTTGAACCCTCAAGCATGGATTTCACTGCAGATTTATCATGTAAATAAATCTTACACTTGAAATACTTAACCAGTTCATAAGTTCTAGCTACCACTGCCCCAACAATATTTAATGGTAACTACAGCATAAAAACTTGATTTTCTCACGACAATTCAGTGAGACAGAAGTGATATGCCTAAAACAATCGAGAGAGAAAAAAAAATAAATAAATAAAGAAGAAGAAGAAGACTACTAAGAATACTCCAGCAAACTACTTTTATCTTTAACGTTATTAGTTAAGGTGCACTGTCATCCACTCTGTACTGAAAAAATAAAATAATAAATAAAGAAAGAAAGAAAGAAAGAAAGAAAGAAAGAAAGAGCTTACCTAGACTCTCCAGCATGGCTTGAACAGTCTCAGGATTAGCCGAAATACCTGATTCATGTGTCATTTGGCGGGCATACAAGTAATATGTCCCTGAGGTTAATCTCTTGGGGTCTAACAAGGATATGCAGACTGATAACAAGTTCACCAAAACTGACTTTGGCCTCGAACCCTCCAGAACATGGCGAAACAATCTCTCTATAAAACTGTAACAGCAACCAGATCTTGATCATGATAAGGGAGAAAAAGGGGACAAGTAGAACAAAGAAGGATATTTCAACACAGGGATAACTAATGCAACCTTGGGCCAGAGATTTTTGAAGCTATCCCAGGTGGAGCATATCTTGTTATCGCACATAACGTTTCTGCAGCATTAGCATGTACTTCAGGACAGTCCTGCAAATAAAGAAATAAAAATGTCTGCATAGCACTCGGAACTCTTTAAAAATAGAAGGCATGAAATTTGTCATAGGTTATTATAGGACAGAATTTGGGAATTTCGTTTTCAAAATTCTATTGCCAATCAGAAGCTTGGTCAACTCCACCAAAACACAGGTATAAAACATGCAGACCCAAATGAACACATAGTTTGCTGAAAAGGATAGATTGACAGATATCTGGAAGCTACAAAAAAATAATTCCATGCCTGCAGCTGCAAGTATAAAAACAATAAACCTTGTCTTGAACCATTCCACTCAAAATAAGTGGAAGGCCCTTAAAAAGAAGCAAGGCTTCAGTATTACAAAAATGAAATCCTCATTCCAGGATTACATGCTAACTGCAACTTACAGATGAACTGAATTTGTCTACAATCATCTCTAGAACATTCATATCTTCCAGCCACTGCATAGAGTCCGGACAGTTCGTGTAAATATGTTCGTCAGCACCAATTAGACGAATCAAAACCTGATCACAAGAAATTTATTATGATTTTCAAACAAAGAAACATATTAAAAGAAACCGGGAAGGAAAGTGGGTAATTGGAGTTTGGACAACACACCTCCATTATAGATGTAATTCCAATTAAGTCAACAAGCCTTTTAATAATTTCCCGATGAACCTGTACAATCATTTAAAGAACATTGAACTTTCTGAGCTGAATTGCCAAGTGTTATAGCACCAATGGAGATAAGAAAAATAACCAACCATTCAAAATATGAAATAGCTAAAAGGTACATATAACCAACATCTCGACCAACTTCAAGCTGCTTGAAATTATATACTAGAGAATTTTTTTAAAACAAAATACATATAGTCCTTCCCACAATTTTAACATACAGAGGCTTAACTAAACGACAAATGCACAACATTATGAAACATTAAGCTTTTATTACCTTTACATTAATAAAAAGTAACACATAACCTGTTTTTTCAATTGCAATATCAGAAATACATTTTAAGAATGACATCATAAAATGTGATAAACTCAGTTTACTAAAATATTTGGTTGGATTGATTAATTGATAGGAGAAAGTTACTTTTAACTCAATTTCCGGTAGCCTCAACCATCACGCACACAATAATGAGTCTAATGATATATCCAGATAATGTATCATATGTATGACGCTAGTCAAAAGAAAATACAAGAACTAATTATCTGATAGTATCAAACTCACTTGTATGTAATTCATCAGAGGAGTTGTTTTCCGCAGCAAGAGGCAAACGACAACCTGGCACATAAGAAATACTATCAAATACCAGGCAGAATCATAAGAAAAACAACAATAACTACATCAGCATGTGCTCAAATCCAATTATAGGATAAATTTCAGATGAAAACTCAAAATAACTTTCATTCTAGGTCCAGGATTACTATAGAATTTATACCTAGGGCCAAGCTAGTTGTTAGTCATTCTTAAGAAAACAAGAGAGGAGTGATTCTGAACAATTAGGAACATGATATGCGAATCGAAAACACAATATTTCTGATCACCTATCAGTAGCATAATAAAAAACGAAAATGGAAAAATAGAAATATGAAGGAGCCATGAAATAATGGTCAGACTGGAAAAAAGAGAGAGAGCAGATAGCTCGGATGCCTAAAAACTGAGGAAATAAAATTACAAGGAGCAACTGCCGTTGAAACTCAGAAGTATATTTCGCATGTATATATGTTATTTTCAAGAGAGCTCTATTTAGCCTTAATATATGGTTAATTTCAGGTGCTGAAACCACAAATGTAGCTTAGCCATAAAATCATCAATAACTATACCTTACTGAAATAACCAGCCAGTTGAGTACTATGGGGACGCTCAGACACCAAAAAGGAGAACAGAAGATCCATCAACTGTGAACCAGGAGCAAAGGTAAGAAGTTCAAAATACAAAATCCAACAAATTTTGGAAAATTCCCACAACTACATACCTCATCATCTTCTACCAGAGCTTTGAGTATAATATCAACTTCACAAGTAAAAATCTCACAAGCAATGAAAGGAAACCTGCACGAAGAAAGAAAGTTGGTTACTAGCCAGCAGATAAGCTTTGAACACGCTGTCACATTATGATGAAAGGAATATGCTAGACAGCACTCAGCACCATGCATGCATCAGGACCCATAACACACGCTTACTTGAATGTACGTTGCCTGTCAGCATCCCCCGGGGCCTCTTCTACTATGTACTGAATCAGTTGCTTAACATTGGCTCTTTCACGCAAACTGTAGTTAAGGTAAAAGAATTGACCAAGACTCCTTATGGGTCCAAATAGTTGAAAATGAACAAATATACTCCTCTCCCATGAATTATCAGAACAGACATAAAAAGTAAACAGGATCTTACAAATTTATAAGACGGCCATTAAGAGCTTTGCATTCTTGAATTATTTCATCCTCATCCAACAGCTCCTCCAGAGTGAAATTTTCTTTATCCAAAATGGCTTCCACCTGGGATTACGCGATTTGTAAAGCTAACATTATATAGTGAATTAATAGATATGCCATCATTGTTACAGTTAAAGAATTTATATGAACAGGTTATGGATCATTAGTTCACTAAACAGGTAACTAGAATGAGACCAGAGATCACTTAAATACTCATCTAACCCATGGAGCGTACATACACATACAACGAGATGGACAGGATTAGCACGAGATAGAGTAATACGAAAAAAAGAAGTCAAATAATAAAGCAGATCATGCTTACACCAACAAAGAAAATAGTATTTATTTTGCATCGCAATAAAAAGGGACCATGCATTCTCCTTATCTCAACCTAAATATATTAGATATCTGATTTTCAAATTCCTGTCCAATTCAGTAAGGCGTGCCATGGCACTTAGTTCCCGTATCACCTGAAACAGCACAACTGCGAAAATACAATTACCAACCTAGGTAACAAATTTTCTTTATTCTTGTGTGAACAATTGCCTCAAATTATATTTGTCTTATTCCAGATAATTCATACTTTACGAGAAAGGCTCTTAACCATAAGGACACCAGAGACCACTATCAGTATATGTCTCCTATTCCATGACGCCATGTGAGCTACTGTTCAATATGATAATGTTTAACATGGCTCGAATCTAATTAAGTTTTTATTGATAATTACCACCTTCAGTTTCCTCCAGACTTTGACGCACTCGACTTCAACACAACCATCGCTAAAAATCATATCCGCCGGCCGTAAACAGTATCACACAAAACCATAGTCATTAATCAGGACCCTAATCCCAACACGCTGAAACTCACAGAACCCAATGAAACCACAATTGCACAGCACAAGCAAAATCCAAAACTCCAATAAACGGGCCTCCAACAAATTGGGATTCACAAACAATACATATCATCAAGGAATCTTGCAAATGATAGAAATGAAAGAACACTCACTGGTGATGCAGTGGAGAGGCCAGCCATACGCCAGAACATGTTGAATTTCGAATAGCGATGATCAACTCGGAGGCTGGCACACGGATATATCAACTCAAAAACCCTAACTTAAACACCCAACCACCTGCTACAAACTCCGGCCGCCAACCTTGATTCANNAAAACTCCGATATCCAAAAACCCAATATGAACCAACAACACTGACCAGATTTCCAAATGGATTTGATTTCTAGAGAGATAAATGTGAGAAGAAAATATATTTACCTTCAATTGCGTGAGGGTATGAGTTTGCAAATTAGCAAAAAAGACTCTGATAAAAATGGAAATAACTATCCGTTGATCAGGGCTTGATCTCTCTCTGTGTGTTAATTCGTTTTTTAGCCACAAACAATTTTTCAAATGTAATTTTGTACCACACGTTTTTATATTTATTTTGTTTTTTGGTATGCTTTCTGTTTTAATTTATGAGGGAACGTGACCCGATTAAATTTACTCAATCGCTATTCACCGTCCCCTTTTTACTAGTCACCGCCCCCCAATTACTCTTTTGCCCTTAACCCTTTTTTTGATTTCATCTCTCTAAACTTTCTATCTCTCTAAACTTCCGAACTTCAACGAACGATTCGAGCATCAAAAGAAATCCAAAAATATGTCGAAAAAATTCTACGGCCTCGGCAAAGGATTCTTCTCCAACAAGGTCAATTTTTTTTTATGCCGAAACTATTTTTAAATATTTTTTTTATTCTGCTCGGCCGTCCGGCCGTCGCTTCCGGATGGCCGCCGTCCGTCCGGTGGTCGGTTCCGAACGGACGAAAAACCGTCCGGTCGGCCGAACCGGACGGTCCTAACATTGTCCGGTACCGGACGGCTGAAAAACCGTCCGGAACCGCCGGCCGGACAGTTTTTTTATTTTTTTTAATATTAATAATAATAATTATTATAAATAA